AGTACACACTATAAAGTAAACTGTTAAATGACATTTTATTGCAATATGCTGTAGTGATTAAGAATATAAGCTCTTGAAACAGAGTTAGGTTTATGTTCTAGCCCTCTGATATAATTGAACTAAGTAACCAGGAAAAGTTAATAAATCTTTATATGCTTTACTTTTTTTTTAAATCAAGATTAATAGGATTCTTTTGTGAATTAAATGATGTAAGTGCATAAAGCTTTTAGCATAGTTTCTGGCAGGAATAGTGCTCAATATGTTAGTTCTCATTAGTGTAAAACTTCAGGACCTTCTTCAAAACTGTAAATTTGAAAACCAAGAAAACACTATAGTGAAATAAAGGCCCAAATGAAACTCATAAACAAAAATTTACTAATGTGTTAAATACAATCTTGAAAGCGAGTTATAGATTAAATGTCTCAATGGAGTTTCCACAAAATTTAAGAAATAAAAACAGTATAGTAAATTTATTTTATAACAGTGTTACTAAGTGTAAATAAAACTGGTTGCTCATGAGTTGCCTGGACTTTGTTAGACTTCTCAAAATCTTGCTTTCCTTTTTTAATCAACATATTGTCCTCAGCTATTATTTAGGGTCACTACTAGAAATGTTCAAATAAATAATATATCTGCATCTTTTGCATGGACAGCATTAAAGATCATTTACTGTGCTGTAAGTTCTTTTTGTAATTTAACATGAAGAACAAGTTTGACTTTCCCGAGGACCTGATAAGCCCACTTTTACCAGCAAAGGACAATTGCATAATTAGTTTTCCTTTTTCTTCTGAGCAGAGAAAATGCATAGCTAAATTTATTTCCAAATGCAGTGAATACATTTTGTAGGTTTTAAAACATGCTTGTGTGTGTGTGTGTGTGTGTGTGTGTGTGTATATTTTTTTTTTAGAAATTTCTAAGTATATGTTTTTGAGCTTACAATAATCTGGTTCGTATTTGGGGATGGGGCTCTGCAGCCGTACGTCAATCTATATAAAAGAACAGCAAAATTTCTTTTGCCATGTACTTTATGTGGATATGCTTATGAGGGCACCAATGAATACTTATTATACTCTCACTGCAGTATCATCAGTATTCACTTAAGTAAAAAGATGTGTTTTGTTGAGGCGCCTGGGTGGCTCAGTAGGTTAAGTGGCTGCCTTCGGCTCCTGTCATGATCCCAGAGTCCTGGGATCGAGTCCCACATTGGGCTCCCTGCTCATCGGGGAGCCTACTTTTCCCTCTGACCCTCTCCCCTGTCATGCTGTTTCTCTCTCTCTCTCTCTCTCTCAAATAAATAAATAAAATCTAAAAAAAGAGAAAAAGATGTGTGTTGTCTATTGTAGAGTTATCATTTACATAGACTACAAAAGTTTAAATTGTGCTAAATTTGGTTTTTTATGGTTGATCAATCAAGCCATTTCTATGAACTAAAGCATAGTGTAACAGTTCAGCTTTGAAAAGATGAGCTTCATGAATACTTGCAGTTGAAATAGAGATACTGCACAAAGATAAAATGAAACCTGAGGAAATCTGAATTATTTAGATCATTAAGCCACTAAGTGGCTTTTCTGTTTCTTTCAAAAGAAAAATAAAAGCAACAAAAACAACTCACATTTTGATTTGTGACAATCCTCATAGCAGATTGTTTTTTTGTTTTGTTTTGTTTTACTGTTTAATTTCAATTAATCTTCAGAGAGATAGTATGCTTCACTGAAAACTATATTCACGGTCCTGGAATTATGTGCCTACTCTCTACAGCAGCTAAAGAGTGTGCAGCATCTGGAAGATTTTCTCCCTTCTTATTTTTAGTTTTATAGCAATGCCATGGTAGCATTGGGGAATGTGTTCAGAATGTTTATAAATAAGTACAGGAAATAACTTTGAAATCCGCAGCTGTTCAGACACATGCATCTGTTTAAGTGAATAGAGGCATCTATCTCTCTAATAAAAAGGGATTCTGAATATAATCCAAGCTCCAAGTATTAAAACAAGACACTACCTGTTTTTAAATGTTAAGCAAATTGCCATAAAATCTGATCAGCTGGTCCAAGGCATTGCTACTTGAGAATTGACTGTTGTTGGAAAAAAAAATGACATAGAATATAGTGTCCCATTATAATTAAACTAATTCGCTCAGCGTCTGCAGTTCCTTCCCACGGTGAAACTATCTGTTTCCCCTTTTCTAACACCTATATATGTCAACACATAATAAATAATCTGATATTTTAACATGTTTAAAATGATTTGTTTATTATAATTGTTATTTTATTTTATTTTTTTTTAAGATTTTATTTATTTATTTGAGAGAGCGAGAATGAGAGAGAGAGAGAGCACATGAGAGGGAAGAGGGTCAGAGGGAGAAGCAGACTCCCTGCTGAGGAGGGAGCCCGATGCGGGACTCGATCCCAGGACTCCAGGATCATGACCTGAGCAGAAGGCAGTCTCTTAACCAACTGAGCCACCCAGGCACCCTGTTATTTTATTTTTTTAAGATTATTTATTTATTTGAGAGAGAAAGAGCATGGGGGCGGGGGAGGCACAGAGGAAGAGGGAGAAGCAGACTCTGCGCTGAGCAGGGAGCCCCACACGGGGCTTCATCCCAAGACTTTTGAGATCATGACCTGGGGGAAGGCAGATGCTTGACCCACTGAGCCACCCAGGCGCCCCAATAATTTTAAATAAAGTGTTACTTTTTAGGTGTGGGTGGATTCATGTACTTTTAGCCAAAGAATCAAAATACTTCCAAATGTGCCACCGAAAGGTCTGCGTGCGGTTTTGATATAGAGTGCAGTAAGCGCGGAAGCCAAGGTCTCTGAAGAAACAAGGGATCGGTGGTGAAATCGTGGTAAAACGCATTCTGGGTGTTTGTGAAGAACGAGGGCTGCAGAATGTGACCTGCGGAGAAAGCACAGGAACAGACACCAGCGCTCGCTAGATCACTGCCACTCAGTGGCACGGAAAGCACTGGAAGCAAAGAAGCACGAAGCGTCCTCTTCCAAAAACACTACCTTAGAGGTTCTCTGGGTGCTGGGCGGGGCTATAGGCGGAGCCCGGTGCAACCTTGACAGCAGCAGCTGAGATTATCCCAAAGTAACGCAGACCATTTGGAATAAGGAAACGGCGTGGGGACCTAGAAGCAAGAAGCTTCAGAAAAGCAGGGAAGACATAGGGTTTGGTATTTCAGAGGGTTATTTTTTCCTCTCTATCTGTATAGAGAGAAGATGGTAGGTAATTTCGAATATATCATACTTTTATAGAGAGGCTAAATCAGTGTTTTATTCATACCACATTACTATGGTTCAGAGGCAAAACAAAGAGTGGTTGTAATCTATTAGGTTCTAAAGAGGCCTTGAAAATGAAAAGCCATGAGAGTTGCCAGGTGTTAGGTGGTCCGATGGGATGATGCGCCAAAATGAAAGTTATAATCATGCCCTTTATTGATTCACTGTAATAGTATAAACAGGAGGCCAGAAGGTGAGGGGACCCCAATGTTCCATATTTCACTGAGCAGGTCTCAAGTGGATCAGAGCCTTTGGGAGGATTATCTCACTGAAGAAGAAGCCCCAGACAAAAGGCTCCTGCCATCTGTTTGGACACAGAGACTGGGAGAAGAAAAGGAAGAAAGGCTCCCATGGAAAAGTGAGCACTCCAACTAGAGAAAAACGTCTTCAAGTCCCTCCAAGAAGGAGGTCACAGACAAGATGCCTTAGAAGGGCCCCAACTGAAATCACCTTGATTAGGAGGCATCTGAGCTAGGAATGCAGGTATGTGTTAAAGCATGTCCATCCTGGGATCCTTTGAATGCAACTCGCTGCAGACTGTCTGTCGACCAGGTGAGGTGGGGTGGGCAGACTTTCACCAAGAGCCCTGCCAGAGTAAAGCCTTGGTAATTGCCTGTGATTGGTCCTATAAGTTCATACATAGGAATTGGGCCCGGAGTTTATTACTGAAACTCTTCCAAAACTTCCAATATTTGCCTTGCCGTTAAATAGACGAATTTAAAATCAACAACAACAACAACAACAACAAAAAGTAAAGAAACTTAGCGGGAATTAAAATGTGTCTAAATGTGTTCTCAGTGCCCTGAAACACATTTTAACGTGGAGCTAATGATGGAGTAGATGAATTTTCATCATTTTCATTTTCATATTTGACAGTGCCTATAATATCGTTCCAAGTAGGTATTTAGAGAAAAAGTTCCCAGGATATATGATTAAAGTGGTACAGGAAAGGTCTCTGATGCTTGGAATATTTTATGTGTTTAATAATTAATATGGAGAAGCACTTACAGAATGGCAGAGCAGAGTCATCCAAAAATCTGTTCCTCCATAAAAACAATGAGAATACTGGCAAAAATAATCAAATCTATTTTTTAATAACTCTGGAAACTAACCAAGGGCATGTAACAATTACTGATGAAAAATGACTAGATTTTTGTAAGAACCATGAGTTGTGTAACATTTTTACCTTGCAGAATTCACAGCCTCCTCTCCATAGCTCTGTGGTAACCCTGAAACCAACAGCACTGCAACTATGTGAGCTATGAACAACACCAGCCTAGCAGGATTAAAATTAAAAGGATTTAAATCAGAAAAATATTTGCTTTCCAAACACAGTGGAATGAAGTTAGAAATAAATAACAAAAGAAAATTTGGAAAATCCCCAAATGAGTAAAAATTAAAATCACACTCCTAAATAACCCAAGGATCAAAAAAAAAAAACAAAAAACAAAAAACAAAAAACAAATCACAGATTAGAAAATAATTTGAGATAATAGAAAATGAAAATACGGCACACAAAAACTTAGGATATGCACCAAAAGTAGTGCTTGGAGTGGAACCTAATTGTGCATGCCTATATTTGGGAAAGAGATCTCAAGTCAGAAACCTAATATGCCTTTAAGAAAAAATGGAGAAACAAAAGATCATACTAACTCCAACTAGCAGAAGTAATAATAATAATAAACATTAAAACACAAATAATTGAAATAATGAATATATAGCTTTGCGCAGTGGCAGTATCGTAGCCAATGAGGTTTATCCGAGGCGCGATTATTGCTAATTGAAATAATGAATATAAACATAATTAGAAAATCAACAAAATCAAGACTGGTTCTATGTAACGTTCAACAAAATTGACAAACATTTAGCTATCCTGACAAAGAAAAAAAGACAATATTTAGTTAGTAAAATCAGGAATAAAAAGGGGATACACTACTCTCCTTAAGAAATGAAAAGTATAAGGGAATGCTGTGGATAGGTATATGCCAATAAATTAAGTTACTTAGATGATACAGACAAATTCCTAGAAAATACGAAGTTTCAAAACCAAATCAAGAAGAAATACATATGTATGAATACACATGAATGCATATGTAAAGACATTGACTTTTTAATCAAGAAATATCCTATAAAGGAAATCTGAAGCCCAAATGACTTCACTGGTGAATTCTACCAAACCTATAATAAAGATTTAAGATCAATAATGCTCAACTGTTCCAAAAGAATATAAGATGAAGGGGCACTCATCAGCTCACTTTATGATGCCAGTGATACCCTAATACCAAAATAAAACACCCTCTACAAGAAAACTAGGGATTGGTAGCCCTTACGAATATAAACAAACAAACAAAAAAAATCAAAACAAATTCAGAAACATATAAACAGGATTATGTACCATAATGAAGTATGATTCATTTCTGGAATGCAAGAATGATTTCAAGTAGAAAAATCAATAAATGGGATACATTATATTCATTTTATAATGGACAACTTTCACATGACCATCTCAATAGTGACAAAAAATGCATTTGGCAAAATCCAACAATGCACAATGATCAAAACACTCAGTAACTAACAATAGAAGGAAAATTCCTTAACTTTTTAATGAATGTGTTTGGAAAGACCCAAAGTTAGGCTGCCTGGGTGGCTCAGTAAGTTAAGTGTCTGCCTTGGGTTCAGGTCATGATCTCAGGGTCTTGGAATAAAGCCCCACATTGGGCTCCCTGCTCAGCAGGGAGCTTGCCTCTCCCTCTCCCTCTGACCCACCCCCCCCAACTCATGCTCTCTCTCTCTCTCAAATAAATAAATAAAATCTTTAAAAAAAAAAAAGACCCAAAGGTAATTTCACACAATATAATATAATGCTTGACATCTAAGATCAAGAACAAGAAAAAAGTGTCCACTTACTACTTCTATTTAACATGTACTGGAAGTTTTAGCCAGGAAAATTAGAAAAAGAAAATAAATAAACAAATAAGTAAGTAAGTAAATAAATAAATAAAATCCAGAAAGAAAAGAATAAGTAAAACACTATTGCCAGAAGACGTGATCTTTGATTATAGGAAAACCTAAGGAATCAACAACAAAAAAAACCCAATAGAGCCAATAAATGAATTTAGAAACATTTCAGGAAATAAGATAAATATTTTAAAAACGGTTGTATTTTTATATTTAACAATAAATAACTAAACATGAAATTTAAAAAATTACACAAGATAGCAATAGAATAAAACTAGAATCAAATTAAACAGACGTGCAATACTTTTAAATTGAAAATTATAAAGCTTTTGAAATACACTAAAAAGAGTGAAATAAATGGTAAGACATCCCATGATTGTGACCAGAAAGCTAAATATTAAAAAAAGTTAAATATTGTTAAGACAACAATGGTCACTAAATTGATCTATAATTCAATACAGTTGCTACCAAAAGTTCAGCTCCAACTTGTAGAAATTAACAAGCTGATGTTAAAATTCAGATGAAAATATAAGGAACTCGGGATAGCCAAAACAATTTTTTTTAAAGATTTTATTCATTTATTTGAGAAAGAGTGAGGAGCGTCAGGAGAAGCAGACTCCCCGCGGAGCAGGGAGCCCGATGTGGGGCTTGATGCCGGCACTTTGGGATCACGACCTGAGCCAAAGGCAGACACTTAACCAACTGTGCCACCCAAGTGCCCCAGCCAAAATAATTTTTAAGAAAAAAAACTTGGAGAACTTATACTGCCTGATATCAAAGCTTACATTAAAGCTATAATATCAGGAGTGTAGTACTGGACTAATGGTAGACATATAGATCACAGAGATATAAGGGAGAGTTCAGAAAAGAAACATAACTTTTATGTTCAATTGATGTTTGACAGGAGTAGCAATACAATTCAAAGGGGAGGGGTGACGATAGCCTCTTTAACAAATTTTGTGGAGGGGTGCCTGGGTGGCTCAGATGGTTAAGCGTCTGCCTTCAGCTCAGGTCTTGATCCCAGGGTCCTGGGATCGAGCCCCACATCAGGCTCCCTTTTCAGTGGGGAGCCTGCTTCTCCCTCTGCCTCTGCCTCTCCCCCTGCTCATGTTCTCTCTCTCTCTCTCTCTCTCTCTCTGTATCTCTGTGTCTCAAATGAATAAATAAAATCTTAAAAAAAAATTTGTGGAAACAACTAGATATCCACATGTAAAAAAATGAAGTTGGATCCTTTTGTTACCCCATACACAAAAAATAACTCCAAATGCATCATATACCTAAAAGTAAGAGCTTTAACTATAAAACTCAGAAGAAAATATAAGTATAAAGCTATGTGACATTGACAAGGAAAAACAAGGAAAATAAATAAAAGGCATCTATATTGAAAAGGAAGAAATAAACATCTGTTTGTAGATGACATGATCTTATATGTAGAAAACCCTCTAGAATCCTACCTTCCCCCCAACATTCTGGAACTAATAAATATATTCAGCAAGGTTTCAGAATACAAAATCAACACATTATCATCAATTGTGTTTCTATATGCTAACAATAAACAATCTGAAAAGGATCCTAAGTAAATAATTAATTTCCAATATAATAAAAAAAATAAAAATGCATAGAAATAAATGTAACCCAGGAGGCAAAAGGCACTTACACCAAAAAATACAAATACCACTGAATGAGGTTAAAGCAGGCATTACAAATGGAAAGACATCCCTTGTTCATGATTGGAAGAATTAATATTGTTCAGATGTTGATACTTCTCAAAGTGATCCACAGATTCGATGCAAAATCTCCTAAAAGCCCAATTTTTTCATGTAGAGATGAAAAAAAAATATTCTAAAATCAATATGGAATATCAAGGTACCCCAAATATCCAAAAGAATCTTGAGAAAGCTATACAATGTTGTGTACATCACACTTTCTGATTTCAAAACTTACCGCAGACACATAAACCAATGGAATAGAATAGAGAGCCCTGAAACAAACCCTCACACAGATGGTCAAATGACTTTTTGACAAGATTGCCAAGACTCTGCAACAGTGAAAATATGGTCTTTTCAACCGATAGTATTGGAAAAATTGGTACATCCACATTCGGAAGTGAAGCTGATTCTTACCTTATGCCATATACAAAAAAAAAGTAGCTCAATATGAATCAAATAACTAAAGGGGAAAAAACTATAAAGGTCATTATAAACCTCTTAGAAAAAGCCTTAAGGGCACACTTTATGGCATGGTATATTTCATTCATGACTTGAATATGACACCAACAACATCAGAAACAAAAAGAAGTATATACTTTGTATTTCATCCAAATTAAAAACTTCTGTGCATTAAAGGACTCTAGGGCTCTCTCTTTCTCGGCGCTGCCTGTGGAGGTGGCCGCCATCTGTTACTGGGCATCATGGCTGCCCTCAGACCTCTGGTGAAGCCCAAGATCGTTAAAAAGAGGACCAAGAAGCTCATCCGGCACCAGTCAGACCGCTATGTCAAAATTAAGCGCAACTGGCGGAAACCCAGAGGCATTGACAATAGGGTGCGCAGAAGATTCAAGGGCCAGATCTTGATGCCCAACATTGGTTACGGGAGCAACAAGAAAACAAAGCACACGTTGCCCAGTGGCTTCCGGAAGTTCCTAGTCCACAACGTTAAGGAGCTTGAAGTGCTGCTGATGTGCAACAAATCTTACTGTGCAGAGATTGCTCACAATGTCTCCTCCAAGAACCGCAAAGCTATTGTGGAAAGAGCAGCCCAGCTGGCAATCAGAGTCACCAATCCCAACGCCAGGCTGTGCAGCGAAGAAAATGAATAGACAACTTGTTGTGCACATCATATTTGTGTTAATAAAACCATAAAACCTAAAAAAAAAAAAAGGACTCTAGGAAGAAACTGGGGAGACAACCCCAGGATGGTATAAAATATTTATATTTTATAGATCACATACCTAATAATAGATTACTATTCAGAATATATATTCTGAATATACAACTCCTTTATTTCAACAACAACAAAAATTTAAAAAGGAACGAAAGACCTGAATAGACGTTTATCCAAAGAAAATATACAAATGGCCAATAATTACGTGTAAGATACTCAATATCGCTAATCACTAGGGAAATGCAATTCCAAAGCACAGTGATATGCCACTTCATATTCATTATGATGTCCATTATAACGAATGAACAAACGAACAAAGAACAACACCAACAAAATAAGAAGTGTTGGCAAGAACGTGGAGAAATCGGAAGCCCTGTGTGTTGGTCGTTGGAAATAAGATAGTAACAGGTGCTGTGGAAAACAGGATGATGGTTCCTTAAAAAGTTAAACATAGAATTATCACAGAATCCAGCAATTTCATTTCTAGGGACACAAGCAAAAGAATTGAAAGCATGGACTCAAATAGGTATTTGAACATCAATGTTCCTAAGAGCATTAGTCACAAGTGGCAAAATTTGGCAATACTAGGATCCATCTACAGATGAATAAATAAACAAAACCGTATATATGTGTGATGGAATTTTATCAAGCCTAAAAAGTGAAATTTTGATATATGCTATAATACAGATAAACCTTGGAAACACTATGCTAAGTGAAATAGACTGGTCAAAAGACGGCAGATACTGTAGTATACTTGTGATGTTCCCACAGCAGTCAAATTTATAGAGAATACAGAAAATAGAATAGTGTTTTCTTTTTCAGTGAGTAAGAATCCCCATCTTTCACGTTGGGATGATAAAAAATGTTTTGCAGGTGGATAGTGGTGATAATTGTACAACAATGTGAATATACTTAAATTGATCAAACCTACACTTAAAAATAGTTAAAGTGGTCATTTTTATGTATATTTTACCACAATAAAAAAAGGGGGGGAAACAGGAAAAAAGAAGATA